GATCGTAAGCTAATTTAAATACGAATTAATAACGAATTACAAAATTAACGAACGAAACTGCCCAAGCCTAATGTCAACCCCACAACCAAACATAACATTTCATTTATATAGATTAAAATACTGTATTTATGCCACATTATATCACAAAATCTCTGCTCAGCATTAAGTAATTTAAAATTTAAAACAATAAAAAGTAATTCAGATACTCTAACTACTGGATAATTCAAAAATGTTTCCAAGGTTTAAATATTTTTAAACAGAATGTTAAAAGTTAAAACAGTCTATAATAGTGATTTTTTTAAAGTTTGTATAAAATCATTTGTCTCCAAATTTTTAAAATAATACCTAAGCTTGGCCCTCGAATGAAACCAAGACTGGTGGAAGTTGTTCCTACAAGAGGTAGGATTCCATAATCCAAGTATCTGCATTGCTATTAAGTGTAGGGCTTCTTTGGGGTTAATACATGGTCAGCAAACCCTGTCTTACCCTCACACTGTTTATGGAGTACAGGCAATATGTGGTAAAATAGGTTAGCCTAGCCAAAACTACTTAAGGTGGCAAAAATCAGAGAAACAACTATTACATGGTCTGTTTAGCAGCTCTCATTTTTATGTTAGCAGTTAATATGTTGAACAGGACATAAATACCTCTCCTGAGGATGCAAACATCTGGTGCCTTTATTGCTGTCTGGACTTTATGCTACCTAACTTCTAAACCTAATTGATCAAAGACTCAAATTTGTTCACTTGACACATATGAAATATTTTTATCCTGCCCTTCTCTGACGGGATCCTGGAATGAGTGGCTAAATGTAATCCCATTGGCTTTTAAGAAAGCTTTCCCCTTTCTTTGAACTTAATTGCTCATAAATCTGAGTCAAAAAACAGTAAAATGAATGATAAATAAAGGTTTGGCATATTGAATCAGTGTGCCTACAAATAAAACTATCTGTTGAGAAATACTTGTGCCAAAATTCACTGGTAGTAGTAGCTAGCAGGAGTAATACTATTTCCATGATTATCACCAATAATTACTTAAATGTTTGTTTTAAAATTATAATATACAGTAAAGAAATGCACTGATTATCACTGGACAACACATTTTGGTGATTCAAATGTTAGACCTATTTCTGGGTATATTTGACCCGTTGATTTTTAAAATGGCAATAGTTTCCCCTTAGCTGAGACACGGAATATCTGCCATATTTCAGTATTTATCTGCTCACCCATAGAAAATCATGATATACATATCTAAAACTAGAGTGGTTGTGGTCTATCCAATGCAATTTTCTGAATCAGTGCGCAAATAACCCCAGGAATAGGTCTAAAAAAACAAAATACCAAGAAATTTGTTTTGGTTGGGCTGTGTTATTGAAGCTGCTTGGTCTTGCTTTTAAATCTTCTCTCTCTTAATTGTTAACAAAAAAAAATCAATGACAACAATACCAAAACATACACCAGTTGGCCTTAAGGTTAGCCAGATACAACTTCCTTATTGCAGTTGCTCCACTGGCTAATGGTCTCTTTCTGAGCACAATAAAAACATTGATTTATCATCTATAAAGCCCTTAACAGCGCAGACCCAGGTTGTCTGGAGGAATGAACCTATTTCAGGGAGGATCTCCTCTCTATCTCACCATCTTCACAGACATATATTTTTTCAGTCTTTGAAATTGTCTCTCTCTTGCTTCCTCCTTGCTGTCCTTGTGTTGAAAAATGAAAACAAATATTTTGAACTGACCATAAGGGCTTTTAACAATTTACATTTCTACCAACTTTGTCTGGGATTCTATGTAATCTACTGAATTGTAATCTAGAGTTGCAGATCCATAATTGCTCCATATTCAGTAACCATGAGTAGCCATGCTCAAGATGTTATTGTCATGATCATAAACTCCCTTCTAAGCCTACTTTATCTAAGCTGGGGGGGGGGGAGCCACA